ATATGTAGTTGTTTTGATGATGTAACAAGTTTTTATTTGTGTAATGCAAGCAATTATTGGATCATATAGCGACAAAATACCTGAAAAGTTAATGGCATTTTCATTAGAATTAGAATAGAGCAGAATAGAATAACATATATTTGAATGGAATTGAATCAAAGGGATGTTTGGCCGATCCATGTACATTCAGGCAGTTCATTTTGTCATTTGGAACAAAAAATTAAAAAAAAAACACTGGACCTTTGACTGGACTATGTCTGATCCAAAATATTTAAGTAATAAGTCCAAAAAGGATCATGTAAAGTAAATATTGCTATCAGAATGAAATAATACAAATACTGATAGATATACTAACAAGTAAAATATATACTTGTAAATTACTTAGATGCTATTTTTCTAATTAATGAGCTTGGTTGACTTTGTTTATAGATGGCATTTTAACTCAGCATGTTAACAACTGTTCCTGTCATTTTTTATCTAAACTTGGACCAAAAAGAGCCTATAAATTTTATTATTATACCATCAATAGTTATTTATTCATGCATTATGTTATCAGTTATGAAAATTAAGAATTCTAATAGATAGCAAATGACTTTTCCCATCCTAATCCGTGCGCTGTTTGTTTAATGACCCCTGCAGTAAAGTGTTCCATGCTGTCCTGCTCTCAGGTCTTCTTGTGTATTTTGGCTACGGGATCTGGCACAGTAAGGAGGGACTGCGGGAGCTGCAGCCCAAAGACATGGCCGCCCGCTACGTGGTCCTGCCCAGTGGCAGCCTGGTGGAAACGGTGCAGAACGTTCAGCCCGATGATCAAGTGGTCACCTCAGCACAATACATCAGCTCCTCCACTGCTCCGACTGCTGAAGAGAGCGCTGAAAAGAGATAATGTGTGAGCGCTGGGAGTCACCAGTACAACTGCCTGATATTACCTGTTGTTTCCTACACAAGCTGTGTTCTCGTGTTATTTCTGTGTCTCACTCCCTTTAAGTCTGTACTCGTTGCTCTGCACACATCTGCACCACCAGATGGGAAGCACGCTGTCTTACTGCTAAGCACACTTGTATATCTTGTAATAATCAGCTGTACAGTAGAGAACTTTATTACTGCCCTGTCAACTCTTAACATCAGCGTTGTGTTATATCCTTCAAAACCAGCGCTTCTCTTGCAACCTGCCACTTTGTCCAAATCCAGGTGCTTTTATTGTTAACAGGGAGGGATCTTTTTGTTTTCCACATTTCCAATTTATATCTCTAGAGCTTAAAAAAAAATACGTATTTTTAAATAGACAACTACCCACCTTTTTAAAAATATATATTTTGAGCAACAGTAAGCTACAGATCCTGCCTGGTGCCTGCTGAAGACAGTATTTATCTGTGTGGAGGATTAGTCTTAAAGGTCGTAAACTGAGCTCTTGTTTTGTCACTGAAATGCATTTCTTGTCCTTTTGTGAATTTCTAGGCTCTGTTTATAAATCTATCAACTTTTAGATGGGTTTTTTTAAGTTTGCCCACAAGAAGCCCCTTTAATTAGAGGCAGAGGACTGCACAGATGTGTTTACATTTTTAACTTTTCATATAAGAAGTGTTATGCTTTAATCATTAAAACTAATTGATTTCATCTCCTTTTGCTCTTTTTAGTAGTTAACGAAATGTTTTTAATTCCTATGAAATAATTTATTTATTTTTATAATAATAGTATTTATGTTTTCCACCTGAATATGTTCTGTTTTTTCCACATTCTTTTGGCTTTTTTAAATTTATTATTTCCAGTCCTATTTGTGTATCCATGTCAGGGTAACCTGTTCACTTTTGATGAATCTGAACACTTTTTACATTCATGTCCTAAATCTCATCACATGACCCTACTCTCTTTTTTTTTTTTTTTTTTTTTTTGAGTAAACAATCTTGAGCAGTCTTTTTTTCCCATACGCCTTTAAGCAGCAGTATTTCCCCCTCTTTTTCTGATGGCATGCATCAAATATTATACAAGTAAATTGGAGCTTATATGACTGATTTATCGAATACAATCTGTTCAATGGGAATTTTTGAGCACGAATATGCTCGGGCAGGCATTGATTATGTTCAACCTGAGCTCTGCTTCATCTCTGAGGTCTCCATAATCCCTGCAGATCTGCAGCGATCTCTGTCGCCAGTCTGCCGCCTGATCTAGATTAGAGAAGGCTATTCATGTGAAAACGCTCCCATGACATAGAGAAACATTCCCAAAATTTGCACTTGCTTCAGTAAATGAGGCTTTGTTTTGTCCCAAATGTAAAAGCAGGTGAAACCATGTCGGTTCAAATTTTTTTTTATGATTTCACTTCAGTTTTGCACGTCACGTAAGAAACCAATGGCCTTAAACATGAAAACCTGTTATCACTGCAGGCTGAGGTCATCAGTCTGATGAGTTCAATGGTTTTAGTTATTTAACTGGTAAACAAAAACTATATTCCAGTAAGTCTCCTTCTCTTGAACTGTCAAACCAAACAAATGTAGAATGTACAGGAGGAGGCATTTTGGCTTTGTTCCAAAAAGGAGTAAGGTTCGAAAGGATTTTATACAAGTTTGCACAGTTTGTAAACTGTCGTGCAGTAGTTTTGTTTCACGGTTATGCTTTAGATGTCAGGGCTCGTGGCATAAATTTATACTGCGGTGCTTTTTATGAGCGGAACGTTTTCACTCCAGCTCTTTCTGTCCTTTGTTTGTGTGCCATGAAGCGCACGTCAGGGATCTGACTTCTCCTACGTTCTACTCTGTACTTGCACATCAGACTCTGCTATCCTTATGTTACAATGTATGTTTGTGTAAACTGCAAAAGACAAAAAAAAATAATAAATGTTTTGAAGCAGCATTAAAAAAAATTCAGTTGTGGAATATTTTTAGTAGTAGTTGTACTATGTAAGTATTTGTTTATTTATTGACCTTTATTTAACCAGGCAAATCCCACTGAGATCACAGATTTAACACGTATGTTTTTGATCTATGGGAGGAAACTGGAGTACTGGAGAAAACCCATGCAAGCATGAGAAGAACATGCAAACTCCACCCAGAAAGACCCCAGGTCCAACCGGGGATTGAACGCAGGACCTTCTTGCTGTGAGGCAACAGTGCTAACCACTGAACCGTCGTGCTGAGCTATGGTGAATGTTTGCTGACACCCCCACCCCAAACCCAAGATTCATCCCAAACCAACTAAGTTCTTCACCAACCCAGGATGAAGTTTTGAACCCAGTAAGTGTAGTGAACCAGGTCTGACCCTGAAGACCTCAAATCTACCAGATGG